TCTTGTCTTCTTTAACTTGGATTATAAAATTCAGATATATCTTAATAAACATTCTATTTATAATCATTCAAAACGTGTAGACAGATTTTTGGGACACCCTGTATATATATAGTGATTTTATATTGTACTGACAAAGTAACAAGAGAATAACCGTATTCACTGTATTTGCTTCTGTCAGTGCTGTTTACTGTTTAAATCCAACAATTACTACAACTGGAGAAATATTCTGCACACTTATTAATAGATTCGACTGTGACCTTAGCCTCGTTGAATTATAGAATATCTATCAGATTCATCAAGTATTAACAGTAAATATTTTAAATCTCTACGTTCTTAAAAAAAATAACATCGTATCAAAATACAAATAAAATTGCAATAGAGAGTTTGGAGTCACGTGACCTACGCAGTCGTGTCCACCATTTTCCTGGTCGAAAAATTTCATTCGATAGCCTTAGTTACAGCATGAGATAAACTATTGTCGTGAGATAAACATGTCCAAAGGTCACATTTTTGTCACTTATTATACTAGACATCTCACAGAACAAGAATTTGAGAGGTACAATCCGAAAGTGTCCCTTTTTGCCGCATGCGATCCCTATACAGCGCCTCAAGTGTTGTTTACACCCATGAGACAGGCAGATAAGCTGTCAGCATTTATGTCTACCTCATAGAAAACTCATCATCCTACACAGGACGCTCCATGAGGGCATATAAAAGCATTGCCAGGGTAAGTGACACTAACAGTCATTGTCATATTTCAATGTGTGAATGCGTGTAGGCCTGGGTATATACTTACTTACTATTTATTTTAACGAAAATTATTCAGAATTACATACACTGTGCACTGTAAACTAAAATAAGTACATACTTCATTGTGATAGGCTTATTTATATATAGTTTCAAATGTAATAACGTTTAATTATATTTATATACACTTATGCATTGTACACTATAAACAAGTACATACATAAGACCATTCCAATTCTGTTTATGTGCAAACCAGGTCTAGTTACAATAAGTAACATATCAGTTTAGAAAACATCGAATCAGAATATCAATCATTTATATCATCTGCAAATATTACAGGTAACCCACTCCCTGAACCTTAGTGAAACTCTAACGCATTCATGGGTAGAAATCTAGGAGAATGTAGTTGTGCTTGTATGTTCACATGTGGAAGCTGTACTATTTGCAGTTACAGCTGCAGAAAGGGGCATGCTGAGAGTACAAGAATCAGTTTCACCAGAAATCAGTGTAAGAGACATCTACTGAAGACAGCTGCTCCCAGACCCCACCACTGACAGTTAAATCATGTAAGGATTTTGACACCAAGCCATATGAAAGTGAAGCTGAAGAACCAGAGAGGTGCACTTCTTTCGGTAGTTACTGGACATGCAGATAGATATGTTCCTCGAACATTTCATCCCCAGTCCCTAACCTCTCTCTACCCAAGTGGTTTGTTCGAATGGGACATTCATCAATTACTTTTCAAGAGTAAAAAAAGTTGGTCGTGAAATTAATTTTGCCACATGAAAAGGTTTGTGTACATATACTTAATTTTGAATTTACATCTAGTAAACACACGAGGCTTCACGAAGGGACATGAATTTTCTAGAAGCTCATGACGTGTTACTAGGGTCACGTAAACTTCCGCTGTCGTAACAATATCAAAGAAAATCTGAAAATATCTGAAAATCTGAAAACATGAAAGAATATTCAAAACATTATGTTATCATAAATGCGGTGTTTTAAGATTGTTTTAATATATACATGTTTGACTATAAAATAATGTATGATACATTGCATATTACAGTGTCATTTCATTGAAAAAGAGACTCGAAAACAAGCAAAGAGCAAGGTCTGGTTCAGTCAGAGAGCAGGAAGAGTGACAGCATCCAACTTCAGTGCAACAGCAAAGAAAACCCCAAGCTAATCATCTGTGTCCCTCATCAAAAAAGATCTGCTATCCCCATTCATACAAGTTCACAAATGAGCAATCAGGTAACATAATGACAATGCATGCATTAATTTTTATATTTTTTTAATAGCAAGGTAATATTTAACTGACTAATTTGCATAACATTTTGGGTAATTTATTCATCAAACTATATTTTTCTGTTAGTTCTGTATTAACATATACTCTGAAGTTTTAAATTTCAAAACCTATAAATGTATACTTCAAATGCAATTTTTTATAAAACTGTTAAATACCGAATTCCCATAACTTTATTACACATTAAATATAATCATATAATCGTCTCAGAGTCAAAAAAAAAAATCAGGTGTTTGGAGGCATGCCAACCTCCCCACCCCCCCCCCACCCCCAGCCGCCACTGCCTAAAATGATGCCAACTTTTAACTCGATCGTACATTCGCCAGATGTTATGGTTTAGTGTGACTGTTATGGCAAAAAAGTACTGGAAATAAAGTGCCCCACTGCTTGACTACCAAGTCAATGGCTGACAAATTAGATGACCCTAGAGAAAACACTGATAATTGGAACATGTCATTAAAACTGTATCATGCATACCACTATCAAGCACAGGCCCAGATACATCTGGTAGTTGCTGAATAGTGTGATTTTGTTATTTGTAGTCAGGAAGGCTTCTTCATTCAGCAAAGTTTGACAGATGGAAGGTTTTGACGAAGTCTACGCTAATGTTTCAGGCTTCGTAAAGAAAGGTGTTATACCAGAGTTGCTGAGCGAATGGTTCACTGTGCCTCAAAAGGTGCAAGTTATGAAAAATCAGCCCCTACATCTAAAGGTTCTGGCTGCTATTGTAGTGAGCCAGACAGTGTTGACAATGACTGCACGCTGTTACGCACATCCAGCATTTATAAGGTTCCATAAATCATAGCTAAAAGTGAGCAAAGCTCCTAAATCATGAAAGTGCATAGATTGCCAAAGGTCATCGAAAAAGGAAAACGTGAAAACCGAAAGCAAAACAGAAGCCAGTGATGTCTAAATTTCAAGGTGTAATAGTGTGAACACTTGTCTGTTTGTTTTTGTTTTTCAAAATACTTGTAGCATGTATAGTAATATGTACAATAATTATTTACAATTTACAGAGGTCTAATTTCAGTTAGTTAAGTTTTAAATTAAACTACTTTATATTTATTTTTCTCATGTTCGTCATCATTTTGATATTACATTAACAAAACACAAGCTACACAGGAGAAAATATGTGTCTTTATTCTTACCATACCAATTTCGTTAAGGACTATAATCATGAAGTTTTACATTTCTTTTACTTGTGATGTTTACAGCTCATAACCTCTGATGTTAACACATGCAATATATGGAAAATGACACGCTTATTATCTACCTTAACAAACACACCTCAATATTATTTCTTTTTATGAGGACTGTCATTGTTATGTTATAATTGTAATATTTATAATGCTAATAATGTATGCAACACATGAAAAATAATAAATAACAACTCCTTAGTACACTATGCAAGTATTTCAATAAGATCGTTGTTTCATCAGCAATTATTTATTTTTAATATTTATTACTACATAACATCTTTGCTGGATTAATTTATGAAATACAAAATAGGAGGCCTATAATATGTTTAGGATTACCTTAACAATATTTTATGTGATCCTTTGTGAGAATAACTACACATTTCATAGGTTTTTTTATATCAAAATGTTTGACTGTATAAGCTAAACAACTTCCCATTTTTACCAATAGGGGTTGTAAGTGGTTGTATTTACTAATATATTTACTAGACTAATATGGCAACTAAAAATATGGCAGATCTAACTGAAAACAATATAAACGGTAAGATTTGTTTGTTTGTTGCTAAGCGCAAAGATACGCGATGGCTTATCTGTGCTGTGCCCTACTTGGGTATCGATACCCGGTTTTTAGCTTTGTAAGCACGTAGACTTACCACAAAAACACTGGTGGATAGAAACGGTAGAAAAGAAAAAGAAATTAAGAGAGAATTCCAACACTTACTACCTGCCCCCCAGTGGCACAGCGGTATGTCTGCGGACTTACAACGCTAGAAACTGGGTTTCGATACCCGTGGTGGGCAGAGCACAGATAGTCCTTGTGTAGCTTTGTGCATAATTAAAAACAAACAAACACTTACTACCTGCAAAAAAATCTCTAAACGTTTTTTTTTTTTTACATCATAATTAATGTGTCAGGTTCTTCATTAAATAACGAACTTTCTTTAATAGTTCATGCGTTTATAATAAATTAGAATTAAATGTAGCAATAGTAAATAACAAATGTTGAAAAAATTGCTTTTCACGCGAGGTTACGGTATATCATCAACGCTGCAACTGTCGGTTTTACGGTTAAAAATGACTGTCGCAAAGGGCAGGCGTATTTCTGACATCCTGATTGATAATGGTCAAACTTTCATATCCTCGAAGGCGGGAAATGGAGCTGCCAATTTCAATAGAGACAGGATGTTTCAACAAATTGAGTTTTAGCGAACACAACGAATACAAAGTATCAAATGAACGTGTTTGTATCTAGGGTTAAAATTACATAAAAGTGTTTTTATTTATTTCTTTACAGAAACAAAGAATCTTTATCAAAGTTTTTCTTCTTTTGTTTTTCATAACAGTGATAACTTCATATTAAGTGGATATTTCTCCATCAAGTTATCATGTTGATTTTGTTGATGAAAAGATAGCAAAAGATTTAAAGAATTTACATAATATTTAGGATGCATGATTCTAAAGGAAACCTCATATTTTAATTAATTATATCTTACAAAATATTTGTCCTAGAAGAACAAAGTTTCCCCAGAGGGCTTAAGCCTTTAAGCTGCATTTAAAAGAGCAGTATCCATGCCAAAGGTATTGTGTACCCAAAAATGCATTCATTTGTCTGTGCTACTCTCGAAGCAGGGATTCATATATTTATTATGCACAAAGATCATTAACAAAGGAAAACGTGAAAACCGAAAGCTAAAACAGCAAAGCAGTAGTCAATGATGATTAAGGTGTATTTGTTATGCATAATACTGTCATCTCTGTTGGATCCTGGTGCTGCAAGAATCACCAGGACAGAATTTTTTTTTGCTCGACTCATGCCATTTGATGATTTCCGAGATGAAAAACAATATTAGCTGTAGGAGAAAAAATGTGATTAACCTTTTGGAGAACACGCGAGCAACAGCAAAAAAAAGATCAAGTGGGGCAGACTTTGATATGTCTCAATACTCTAATTAATAGTAAACACTTTAATCTAACTGAACTAACCAAGTCTCAGTTTGGTGATCTGTTTTCCAGGATATTAACCTCAAGGAATGCCCATAATTCTCCTTGTTAGCCTTCCTACTAGATTATCCAGAAGATTTGTGTTTACAATTCTAGGTTTGGAATATGCCTTTGCTATAAATGGAACAATACATTCGAATATTTCTGCTTTGGTGAGCAGTTTTGTTCGTATGTATCTTGGATTTGAACATACCAGACACCAAGAATTAATACTTAAATACATTTGTCTTCTTGCGCGGGACTTTTTTGACAAAAAGGAACAACGATATTTTCATTCTAGTTTTTGGTGATAAATATATATATATATTTATACACACACACACACATATATACATTTATATGTGTGGAAGAGTTCTAAGTGTGAATTCTAAAAGCGACGTCAGAGTCTGCACAAGCAACAGTCACTTGTCAAACTATGAATAATTGTATCTACTGATGGGTACATTATGTCGACCTTTGTTCAATGTCTTTCTGGTGGGAGAAATAATAATGTAGCAGTCACTCATAATATGTTTGAAATTTTTGTTGAAAACGTTCGCATATGGACACACCCACATAGCATGGCTATTGTGGAAAATATTTCTTTGCTGTTATAATGCACAAAGTTATCTGTGTTGTGCTAACTATGGGTATGGAAACTCAGTTTTTAGCGTTATAAGCCCACAGGTGTTCCATTGAGCCACTGGGAGGCATGAAAACGATTTAATGATGTATTGGAGCTTCTTCGAGCTGGTTGTGTCCAATGTGTCATTCTTTGTTTCTTTATTATTTTTTTTTGCAAAATAAAGAGCGTAACCAGGATCCGACAGAGGAAACCAATCTTTCAAGGCTTGTCACAAAAGTGCGTTAAGCAGTAGAAGTAATAAATGGACACATAAAACAGTTGGAATTACTAGACAATACCTTATTTACCAACCCAAAGATTCCTTTTAGAAGAAAGTGAATTGCATATGTAACTGTCATAGGCCTGATCTCTTATGAAAACATAGGTTGTAGAGCCCAAAGGATTAGCGTGAAAGAAGTTGATGTGTAAAAAAGATTAAATCAGATGATATAGCATTGAAATTTTCAATTGTCTAAAGAATTCTAGCAGTCATTAACACTGGGTGTATACCATTTGAAACAGACAGTACCACACACACACAGAGGAACATTTATCTAAGTATGGACTATATAACATGTGAGTATTTTTCGTGCAAAAATTCGATCTTGACATGTTTCAATTAAGGCGTACTGATTCTGGATTCAACATGACTGGCATCATGATCCACCTAAGCTCGATTAGTATTCCCTGTTACACAGGTGAAAACGTAGTGGATTGTTGTACACACCTAGCGTCAGTAATACACACCATTTGAGTCTCAGGAACATATAGGTTCATAAGACCATCTTCCATATCAGAAGGTGTTCAAGGTGCAGCAGCGATCGCTGATGGTACTTTGATAAACTGGATGATGAATGAAGGTGGAATGTGATCAGTTATTGTACACGGTATGAGAAGTGTGTAATTTCTATGGGTGAGTTGGAGATAAAATTAAAAGCGATTACCTGGTCATGTTTAGGATTTCCAACATGTTTATGATAGGTTGAAGAATATATATATATATGTGTGTGTGTGTGTATGTATATATATATATGTGTGTGTGTGTATCTTCAATGGCTCAACGATAGGCCCGAGGCTTATAATGCTTAAATTTTAGGTTCGATCCCCGCTGTAATTACAGCGCAGATATTCAACTGTGTATTTTCGC